AAGTCTGATGTACTGTCCACTTTTATTCAGTACAAATCTATGGTTGAAAATTCTTTGTGCCCAAAGATTATTGCCTTAAGGTCTGACTCTGGTGGAGAATACCTAAGTACTCATTTCTTAACTTTCTTAGCTACACATAGCATTCAACATTAACTTACCTGTTCACACACCCCTGAACGCAAGCATCGCCATTTAATGGACTCTTTTGGCAGCTTCTAAAGTACCTCACATCTACTAGGTTGAGGCATTTGACACAGCAATCTATCTCATTAATCGATTGCCTACTGTCTCCATATCATCTCATTGGGAATCATTGTATCATAGACCACCCAACTATAACTTTTTGAAAGTTTTTTGCTATGCCTGTTTTCTTTTATTAAAGCCTTACACATCCTCAAAGTTGGATCCCAAAGTAAAGGTTTGTGTATTTCTTGGCTATAGTTTGAATCACAAGGGTTACAAGTGTCTTGATCTTGCCACCAAAAGACTGTATATCTCCAGACATGTTTTGCTTAATGAATCCAGTTTTCCTTTTCATCATCTATCAACTCCCACACTGGTCTCCCCACATTCACCTACTAGCTCAGGATCCACCATTCCTTCTACTCTTACCTTTACTTTTCACCCTTCTTCTTCATCTACCACTTCACTAATACAACCTTCAGCTCCAGCTCAAACTTCTTCCTTACACTCTGACCCTTCAATTTCAAGTCTTTCAGCAGCAGTCCCAAAACCCATCACCACCAACCCCACCCAACCTATCAATACTCACTCAATGCAAACAAGGTCCAAATATTGTATTTTCAAGCCTAAAGCTCTCACTGCTACTAAGCACCCTTTACCTTCTCATCTTTCAGTAGATTATCTTTCAGTAGATTATCTACCTACAACCTATCTTCAAGTTTCAAAGTACCCTCATTGGTGCCAAGCAATGCATGAAGAAGTCAATGCACTTACCAATACTAGAATATGGTCTCTTGTCCCTCAATCTTCCTCACAGAATGTTGTTGGATGCAAATGGATGTTTGGCATTAAGAAAAAAATCTGATGCTACTGTAGACAGGCACAAAGCTTGGTTAGTTGCAAAGGGTTTCAACCAACATGAAGGTCTTGACTACACAAAAACATTTAGTCTTGTAGCCAAACCAGTCACTATTAGGCTTCTTCTTACTCTTGCAGCTCAATGTGATTGGTTTTTAAACCAACTTGATGTTAGCAATGCCTTTTTACATGGTACCCTAACTGAATCAGTGTTCATGAACCAGCCTCCTGGTTTTAAAGATTCTAATAAGCCTTCTTATGTGTGTCACTTGCACAAATCATTGTACGGTTTAAAACAAGCTCCAAAAGATTGGTATGAGAAGCTTCATGGGGCTCTTTACTCTCTTGGATTTGTAGGATCTCACAGTGATCATTCTATGTTCATAAAAAAGGCTCCAGATTTGGTTTTCATCATCATCTATGTGGATGACATTTTGGTCATTGGCCCTAATTGTGCAACATGTAAACAAGTGATACAACAGCTTAGTTCTCTATTTCCTATTAAAGATCTTGGAGCTCTACATTACTTTCTTAGAATTGAAGTTAAAAGATCTTTTTCAGGTATATTAATATCCTAGACCAAGTATATCTTGGATTTGTTATCCAAAGCCAACATGGTAGGGGCTAAACCATGCAGCACACCCCTTAGCACTTCAAACTTGATCATGAGTCTTCCTTACTTGAAAATGTCACTGAGTATCGCTCTTTAGTTGGTGCTCTTCAGTATCTTACCTGGACAAGACCAGATCTTAGTTTTGCAGTCAATTTTGTATGCCAATTCATGCACAGCCCTCAGATTTCTCATTTTAGGCAGTTAAGAGAATTCTTAGGTATCTTAAGGGTTCTATTGATCTTGGTTTATGGTTCTCTAAGTGTTCCATTACTCCTACAATCACTGCCTTTTCTGATGTTGATTGGGCAGGTTGTGCCCTTGATAGAAGATCAACTAGAGGTTATTGTGTTTTTTCTAGGAAACTCCTTAATTAGTTAGAGTGCTAAGAAGCAACCAACAATAGCTCGCTCCTCCACTGAGGCAGAGTACATATCCCTTGCCAATATTGCATCTGAGCTTACCTGGATTTGTAAATTGTTGGTTGACATTGGTTATTACTTGCCTAGCTCTCCCCAACTATGGTGTGACAATATTTCTGCCATATCTCTTGATAAGAATCCAATCTTTCATACTCGGACAAAGCATGTGGAAATTGACTATCACTACATTCAGGAAAAAGTTTTGGCAAAACAGATTTCTATGCATTTCATTTGTACTCAAGATTAGGTGGCCGATATCTATACTAAATCTTTTTCCAAGTCCAGGTTTTTGTGTCTCTGTGACAAACTTCATCTTCGGGTACCTCAGTTTCATTTGAAGGCGATATAAAGGATAATATTGTAACTACACTATCTAGAGATATTACTTAGTGGTTAAGACTTCTGTTAGTTAGTTACATTTTGGTTTCTTAGTGGTTACAATATACTTGTATATAAATACTCAAAGTGTAAGATTATTCTTTATGAAATGAATACATAATTTTCCTAATAGATATATGCACATCGTGTCCATCTTGCAATGAAGAGATGTTTTCCGTATTACAATCAAATCTTGAGAAAAATGAATGTCTTCATTGTAGTTATACCACAAACTCCTAGCACATTGGAAGTATGTGGTGTAGTGTATTTTAGAGCACATGTCGTGCTTGTTGTACTCCTAGAATTTCATATTCGTTTTCCAAGTGTTGAAGCTCGGTCATGATAGGGAAAAACTGGTTTGTAGATTATGATTGTAGTTATACGTACCACAAACTCCAAGTAGTACTAGCCTTTTGTCAAGGACTTGAGTTAAGAGAATGTCTTCTATAAATTGTAGACACAATCACATTGCATTGTAGTCAAAGTAGATGATGACTTCTAGTAGATATATGCCCATCGTGTCCATCTTGCAATGAAGAAGAGGTGTTTTTCCCTAGTACAATCAAATCTTGAGAACATTGGATGTTTGGATGTTTGCCTTGTAGTTATACCCCAAACTCCTACACACTGGGAGTATGGTGTAGTGTATTTTCGAAGCACATGTCGTGCTTGTCGTAGTACTCAGTAGCGGAGCTACACTGGGGGGCAATGTATGCTCACGACCCTAATAACCCAGTGCTCCTCCTTGTATTTTATTGTCTTGACCTCATAATTAGTTCAAAGAAGACCAAATTTGATGGTGTAGGTGGAGCGGTGCTAGCTATTTTGCATACCATCCAATTGGAATTTGGCTTCATCAATGGGACTGGAGATACGAATTTTACTTCCTAATTCATCTTTCGCTTGCAAATTAGAATATTACAGAATTCATTTAATTACGTCTCTCATTAATTGTTTCAACAACTATCTTCTTATTAAGTCTTGAATTTGATCACAATTTACATTATCATACCTCCTATCAATGATGGAGTTTTAGTTTTCTTTTCAATGGATTGAATTGATCTAATAATTGAGCATTTGTAAGACTCATGGCAACTGATCACATATATTTGGTAATTTTTTAATACAACGATATATTTATACTAAGGGTGGGGGAATGAATTGGCTGTGAACTCATCATTCACGACACTAGAACCTAAGAACTCTCACTTACAAGTGAAGAGTAATAGCATTAGACAATAGTATTAAGTGAGACGTGTATTTATACTTATAAGTAGGTTAATTCATTAAGTTTTTTTTTCCTTGTGAAAGCCTTATTTCTCATGACCCCATTATTACAAAATTCTGGCTCCGCCACTAGTAGTACTCCTCTTAGAAATCCATATCCATTTTCCTTGTGCTGAAGCTTGGCTACGATAGGGGTAAAGTGATTTGCAGATTATGATTGTAGTTATACGTACCACAAACTCCAAGCAATACTAGTATACGTACCACAAACTCTAAGCAATCCTAGCCTCTTGTCAAGAACTTGAGTTAAGAGCATGTCTTCTCCAAATTGTAGAAATAATCAACTAGATTCATTGCATTGTAGTCAAAATAGATGATGACTTCTAGTAGATATATGCCCATCGTGTCCATCTTGCAATGAAGAAGAGGTGTTTCCTCTAGTACAATCAAATCTTGAGAAAATTGAATGTCTCCTAGCACACTGGAACAATGTGGTGTAATGTATTTTTGGAGCACAAGTCATGCTTGTTGTACTCCTAGATATCCATATCCGTTTTCCTAATGTTGAAGCTCGGCCAGGATAAAGACAAAGTGATTTGCAGATTATGATTGTAGTTATACGTACCACAAACTCCAAGCAGCACTAGCCTCTTGTCAAGGACTTGAGTTAAGAACATGTCTTCTCCAGATTGCAGACTTAGGAGGAGCTCCTGATCAGGGTGCTTCCGCATGAGTAGCTCCGAAGAGACTGCTCCGAAATTGTACGCCTAACATTTCTCTGTCACGTACCTTTATTGTAGAAGCAAACAGAAGAAATAAGCAGAACACTAGTTAATCGGGCTATATGCATGATTGAAGCATTTTGCTACAGAGAGATAAGTACTGAAGCACGTACGAACTCGATCAGTTCCTTACAATATTCTTATACAGGTTCCCTAAAATTTTATGGTAAATAGTAAACGCTTATGAGGAATTGCTTTTAGTCTGATGGTGGTTTTGGATCTTTCATGTTTCATTTGTTGGGGATTCCTTGTGCCTCCTTGTTTTTTTCCCTGAAATTTTTATTTTATATTCCATATTTGGTCATCCAACCAGCCCTGCATTGCATTGATGATTCTTAACTGTAGATGCATGAAGATCGACTTATAATAAAATGCATCACTGGCCAGTTAGATACTAGTCACGCGCCTGAGCCATGCAAGCCTGAACCCTTCGAGTGATCATTTAGTCCCATTAGGTGTGGGGTTTCGTTTACTCGTGGATTTTCTCTCTTATATTTTCTCGTGACACTAATAGTGGATCTTTGCGTGAAGCTCAGGACGATGTAATACTAAGTTATTTCGCATAATATAGACATACCGTGTCCGGTAGGTTCATACATGAAGCAACACAACACATTATAAGCACATAACTATGTAAGCTTAGCCTATGTGTCTCTCATAGTTAAACAAGGAACTTAGTCAGGCCTATATAAACCTCTTCCTTCATCTGTGTGAGCAAGCAACCCACGTTTCATCGCTCATGGGCAACACAGTGGTACCTTCAGGATATTCCATATTTGACTTGCGTGGGTAAACGGAGACCTTGTTATACATACTCCTTCTAGCTGGTGGCTCAAGAGAAGAGTCCATAATGCAATTAGTGGAGCCGTTTAGGGACACAGGGCTAGCACCGTTGTTCATCTCCTGCGCACGGCCATGTACAACATAAGAGGAAGAGAATCCTTCCCCACCTGCCGTAGAGTGTTGACTTTTTCCTTGTGCAGTTACTGTAATCAAAGAAGATAAGCCCGGTGATTTGAAAACTTCAGTTACATGTAAGATTGTGATATATTTATGGAGTTTATGAAGACAAAATCATACAAAAATATAAGAAATAGAGAGAAGGATGTTTGAATATCAACATCTCTTATGCGTCTTCATAGTTCATACCCTATTTAAATTCTGAGTTAATCCTGTGATGCCATGAATTTCTGTGATACTTGGGGTCTGGGTTTGTTTTCTTTACTTGTTTTCGTCTCCTTTGTATCAATCGGAGTTGTAAGCATGATTGTTTGTATTAATAAAATGAATTATTAGAAGTAGTTAACTACAAAGTCAACAGAGGGTATGTACTTCATCAGACATCTAAATTACAGATTGAGATGACGTTACGTTTCTTTACCCTATGTTTGGATGAGAAACTTAAGTTCCAAGGATGCATGCACTAAATTTATTAAGAATGCATGCACTACAAAGATTAGATAAAGAGGAATTTCAAAATTACTAGATGCATTAAATTTGAGAGAACTCTTAAATGACACTTCAATTTTGAAAGTCCTTTGTTAAATGTCTTTGTAGCACATTTGTAGTGCTTCCGTAGTAGCTTTCATGTACATGTTAATTAATGTATGCAGGAAAAACAAGTTATAAACTCAATACAGAATTTGCTTTTCTAATGAATTATACTCTAATAGCTTTCCAGTAGATGCTTATTTGCATCTGAACCTTTCAAGATGCAGCAATTGTGAAGTATTCACATATGCAAGACCATGAGTTCTCTCACAAATCTTGAATCTTGGCACAAGAGCTCAATTTTTTGGCATACTCTTTATAGCATATACCCACAATTATATTGACAAAAACATAAATGGTAAAACAACATTTCAAAAGAATTAGAGAGAGAGAGAGAGACTGGAAACGTCTTTGTTTCATTCCAGACATCATGGGGATTTTCTGAAAGCTACCCACTGAGTGACATCTAGAATTCTAAGAGAACCCTCCAAAATCTAACAATTGATTGAGTGAAGAAACATGAACAAATACCCCTTGAGGGAAGGGATCCCCATTTTTGCCAAAAAACGGGACTACACTCTCAGCCTTCTGATTTGTTTTAATGAAATCGTGCGGCTAGAAATATAACATGCCTTAATACCTCATCTGAATAGTAAAAGACACCAGAAAGTTCTCTGCCTCCTCCATTGACAAAACCTATTGGGTTCTGAATGGGTTGAAGGATCTGGTTCTGGGTCGCAATTTTATTTATTTTTAAGCTTAAGGTAACTATTAGTATTTTCACAATTAAAAAGAATTTGAGCTGTCCAACACAAATGCAATTTGTGGCAAATAGAGAATAGTTGCTGCTACTCTCCTTAAAACCAGAGCTCCTTTCAGAGAGCTGAGAGTTTAGTTAAAAAAACATCATAGCTGTTTAATCAGACCTTTATAGCTAACCAGCACAATCTAATTTGATGTACTTATTTTGTCCCAACAAAAAAAAAATGAAACATATGAAAGCAATGATAGTACAGCAGTAGGGTATAAAAATAGAAGAGAGTTTTCGGGAAAAACAATACCATTATTCTCCTTTTTCTTCTCTTTAGTATTGGTATTCGGAGACAAGATCGCAGGTGCATTACGCCTGACTTGTTGATGTTGATCAGAAGCTGGATTTGACTGGAAACTTGAAGATAAGATCTGTGAAGCTTCTTGCCCTTTCCGAGAGGACATGACCAAAGGTAGCTGACTTGATTTACCTGAAGAGGAAGGTTCAGAATGTTGTGAAGCATACAATAGATCTATTCGAAGTGTGAGGATGCGTAATCTTTTGCTTCTCCATCTCATCAGATATTATTTCTAATGGAAAAGTTCATGCAAAGCACATTCTTGTAGATATGAAACTGAATAAAGTCCATAAAAACTATATAAAAAAAAAACATATTTCATGGAATTTGATGTAAAAATGCATTGAAAAAAACAAACACAACTTGAATAAATAAAAGAATAGAAATAATATAACTGTTTTAAGCACTCAACTTCCATGGAGAAACATTGTAATAAATTACAAAGAATATAAATACCTAGCAGCTGACACTAATTTGAAGTTAAAAAGATACTCTTACGCTCTCTCAAGGTATGGTAAGCGACCTTTGCTGCACTCAACTCTGCCTGCTTTTTGCTTCTTGCTTCTTGACCTATAAAAGTTTCTCCTTCTATCTCCACAGACGAAACAAAAACTGGAATGTGAGGTTCACCAGACATCCTTGAGCTATAGATTGGTATAGAAAAACCTTCCTTCTGAATCAGTTCTTGTAAAAGGTTTTTGAACAAACCAGAATCATCCTACGGAAAGAAAAAGAGAAAAACACGCAACGAAAAAAGATATTTAGAGATGCTCTAAACTACCACATTTAACAAGAAGACAAAGAGCACATAATACATAATTTTCCACCTCTTGAACTCCATTTGGAAGAAGGGACATTAAAGCAGCTTTTGCAACTGCATGTTCAGCATCCTTGAGTGTGGGAAGAAACTCTTGACCCTCATATGTCTGTCCATCAATAGTTACCCTACACTTGAAACGACAGTTATGTGGTGGACCTTCCCGCTCACAAGAGTAGACAGGTAGAAGCAGATTTCTCTTTTGTGCATAAGTTTGCAGTTGATTCTTGTACAAATGTTGCATATCTATACCCCATATTAGAAGAGTATAAGTTGTAAATCGACTTAATGATAATCAAGACAAAGTTCAGACAATTCACAGACGCTAAAGAATTTAAGGCATTATATGCTCGTCCCATTTATGTTTTGCATATCCGTTTAAATTAGAGTTTAACATTCAACAGTCTCTAGCAAAGCTATCTTCAAATTTGAGATAAAAAAAAAAAAAGTTATTTCTAGGCTCGGTTCCCTCCAATAATTAAATTCAAAGATCATTTTTTTTATTTGCGAAATAATCTTCAAAACGTTAAGTCTCAGTGAAAAGATTATAAAACATTAAGGCTCAGTGCCAATCACCAGAGAATATACCCATCTTGCCCGACAAGGCGGCATTCGCCTGAGAAGCAGCACCTGATACGTTACCACTAAACTGAAGTGGCACCTGAGGAATCTGATGCGTTTCTTGAGTCTTCGGCTCCACTATCTCTATCTCTCGTGCTTCATGTGTAGTATCGGAATCAGTGGCCGGTTCCACTATCTCTATCTCTCGTGCTTCATCTGTAGTATCGGAATCAGTGGCCGCAGTCCAAGGAACAGAACCCATATGTGAAAACGAATTTCGGCATTCAATTCAGGATATGCAATCAGGTTAGGAAAATAGAAAAAACCAAAATACATGTAAATAAAGATTTCCTTCCATAGGCAGAATTATCAAGTAAATAACGGCGTCGTTTTGGGATCGAGCGCATACCTGAGAACGAGGAAGCGGAGGAGGAAGAGGGAGGACATGGTTGAGGGAAAGAGGAGGGGCTGGGAATGGGATTCCTGGGTTTGGGTTGGGGATTATCAGAGAGGTGGTCGAAGGCGAGCTTAGCAGCGTCGTTTTGGGCTTCTTTGGAGGACCTGAAGATATCGACAGTGTGGAAGTCGAGGCCGTTGATTGTGACGGTGGCGGAGAAGCTAGGGTTATGGTCGAGGCCAACTTTGGTGGTGTTGTACTCCGGCAACCGCCATTTCCTCTGCTGGCAGAGCTCCTGCAGCCTGGATTTGTACATCCTCCTTTTTCCTTTTAGCAAATAGCAATGCAAGCTCTGTCGTTTCTTGCGATGGGAAATGGAATATATATGGGAAAAGCCTTGTTGATGCAGTTTAAAAAAGCCTTGTTGATGCAGTTTACTCGACTTGTCCTTTTCTATTTGTTTGGTTACGAATAATTGTGAATTTTAATTTCTGCGTTTGCTGCTTGCTACCCTTTGTTATTTTTTTTCGGCTTCTTGTTCAAGTTTACTAATTTGGGCTTGGGTTGTGTTCATTTGTCTTTATTGGGCCTTGTGATTGGTATTTCATTCACAAGATTGTTTTAGTTTTTTTATTGTTCGAACATTGTTAAATGTCATTTCTCCCTCTTCAGTAATACGATGTTGCCACTATTTAGTACTATAATTAAGTGATATTTTGTTATTGTTTGTAACTAAGAAATTCTTGAATCGAATTTGTGAATGATGAGTTCGATACCAATTTATTCCCTCCATCTGTATTGTAAATATACCCTTGTACCAAAAAAAAAAATTTCTGGTAAAATTAGTTTAACTCGCAAGCGTAGCATGGGCGTGAAGGACATATCTATGTCTTGTAAAATTAGTTTCTGGTAAAATTAGTTTCTGTCAACAATTAGTATTTTGTATTTGTTTGGCTTATAGTGGATTTGTTTCTGACTAGCAAAGTGCCCGAAAATTTTCTCCAGAGGAGGGGTTTAGTTTTAGGGAGTTTTAACGAAAAACTCACGGTACTGTTCACTTTAACAAAAAATCACATTTTTACACTAAAAAGTCAAACCTGGTACTATTCATTTTACCCTTTATTTTGCCCTTATCATTGAAACTCAACGTTTCAAGCCATTTTCATTAGTTTTCCTTTAGTTTTACATCGTGAAAATTATCGTACACTGTGCGTTGGTATTTTTTTAATGTTCAGCTATAGCGTCATGATTATAAGACTGGTTTAATCCTGCATTGATTCTCATTTGAACGAATTTGTATGTAGGGTTTCTTTGTAAGTCCTTTTAAAATGGTTAAAAAAAAATTTGATAAAAATGTTTTTGAAATCAATTATTAGCAAAAATGTCAAGTAAAGTCTAGAAAAATACTTAATGTGCTTTCTGTAAGAAGCACCAGCAATATAATAATGATATGTCAGCCGAGTCATCTAATGTGACATGTACGGCTGAACCTATAGCTCATCAAGTATACCTGCACACGAGTTGGACCACCTATTGTGGTCTATACAACAGGGCTGGGTGCAAATAAGTACGCTCAAGTGTTACTATGCGAATAATCGCAGGTCACCTACAAGTCGGAACCACCTAATGTGGTTTGTACGACAGGGCTATGCACCTAACTTGGATCCAAGGTGAGCGTACAGTGTGGGAGGTGAACATCACGTGAAGAACTGTGCCCTGGCCACGGGCAGGAGCACTAGCACCTAGGTGCAGGATAATGAGCTCTAAATGCATCTACGTATAACCACAAACAATGCATCCACTATCATCAATATATACTCACTTGAAGCTTACCTGGGCGTCCACAACATCAAGCAACAATATGCATATCTATACTAATGCATACTTTAAAGCATAATGAATTTGACATGGCATTTAAAGTCATAACTCCTTTTAAAACAAATTTCTGGGAAAACACAAAGCATATATATGTATATATAGAAAATCAAAAGCCCACTCACAGGTATGTAGCTAGATCGTAACCCCCGAGTCTCGCCTGGCTGCGCTCGTCTTCCGGAAACGTCTCACCTATATGTGAAACCATTATTTTAACGTTAATTTTAAGTATATAACCAAAACTGTGTAATAACTTCTCATACGTTGCTCAATTGGGGTGTTTGAAATACCATTGTGGCCTACTCAACACTACGAGCATCCCTATATTTTTAGAATAATTTTTCGATGTCCCACGTGCCCTCACGCGCCGGCCAAGGCACGGCCGCATGCGACGGCCACACACAGACACAGGCCTGGCACACTGACGGAATCTTTATCGCCGTTAACGGAATATTCCTCTTCCTTCTCTGGTGGTTCACCGGATTCCATTGCCGATTGCCGGTGCGTCGCAGAAAACTGGAAAAATTGTAAAACTTCAATATCTTCTATGTTTTTCAACCAAATTCCACAAATTTTACATGGATTTGAAGCCTTGAAAGTGTAGAACATGTTCTTACCTTTTAGAGGTCCTAAAACCGACGAGAAGTTGTCGGAAAATTCCTCAAAATTCCGGCTAAACCTGGAAACCCACAGTCGAGCTTATTTCGATATCCAAACTTAACCAAAATTAGTCTAAAACACTAAAGGAGTTGTATTAATACCTTTCTAAGTTTCAAAAACAAGTAAAACCTCGATGATCACGTCGGGGAAACAGGGTACTCCGCCAGAGCTTCTAAGTTCTTGGGTTCCCGTGAACTGTTCTTCATCCCAAAAGTGTCACTAGACTCATGGAGTCACAAGGAAGATGATGGTGACCTCCACTCACTCGATTCGTGGGTGTTTGATGGTGTTTGAAGGCTGGAAGAATCGGATCGTACGGACGGAAAGAATTTTTGAGAGAGAGATAGAAAGAAAGAAAGAACAAGGTTGCACGTGTGTGTGTGTGAGAGTAGCTTACGGGGTTGGCCACCTAAAACAACGTCAAGCCTTGATTGGGCCACCAAACCCAAGATCCATGCAATTGGATCAAACTAAAAGAACCAATCCATTTTCCCTTATTTCATCATAACATTTTCTCTACATACCCGACTCGGCCCTAACTTGCATCCACGATCTCATTACGCCGAATACAACTTAATCACGTCAATGGAAAAATAATTAAAGACTATATACATACATCCACGTCACAAGACCCACGAGGGCAAAATAGTTATTTTCACGGACTCGAGGATAAAATATATTTTAATTCGAGACGGGTCGTCACAGTTTTTAAGAAATAATATACAACTTTAACACCTATTTATGTGCATGTAATGTAATAGGTTTAGGCTTCTGAAACCAAATCTAAAAGAGTAATGCTATTCTTACCACAATTTTATACCACATTTATTTATCATTTTAGGTGGCAGGTGAATTGGACAAGCCACATCATTTAATTTCAATTTCAATTTCAATTTTCTTATTAATTAAAATATTAAAATAAGGAAAATTGCAGACTTCAACTCTCCCACTAGCATTAATAACTTAATTGGGTATGAACCCTAATCCGATAAATAAATTTGATTTTGACTCCTAATTCTCATGAAATAATATGCGTTATTCAATAATAATCAAATGAAATCCTTCTTTTAAACCACAATTTTTTTTTTTTGAAAAGAAGACAAAAAAAATCATGAGATGAATAGCCATGGTGGACCAATGAAGATTGGAGACTGAAATACTTGAAGTGGAATGAGGTGGAGATAGAAATCAATATATGGTAATTGTGATATATGAGTGAATTCTATAAAACTTGATCATAATCATGGAAATCAACAGAAATTAATAAATAAACTGGCGTGAGAAAGAAATGGAAAGGAAGAAGAAGAATTGAAAGGGGAAGGAAAAATGAGACTTCTCGTATACTACAATCATTATTTAATTAACGAGAGATTTTTTCAGTGTGACTGTCCATGGGATAGTACATCACGTGTTGTTATATAAATGGTGAGATATGTGTGTGTTAAAAAGTTAGTAACTTAAAAATAAAATTTCCCACCATTTACATAAAACACGTGGTATACCACTCGTGTTCTCATCACAACTAAAAATTTCTCTTAATTAACCATGTTTTTATTAGTTCTTGATTAATTAAATAGTTTTTTAATGGAAATTAAATGTTAATTAATTTAAATGACGTGGTTATCCACATCAGATGTCACCTAAAATGATATAAAATTGTGGTAAAAAACATTGTAAGAATAGCATTATTGAATCCAAAAACATGTTGTGAGAAAACGGAGATGCTCCACTAAGCAAACACATAGCCAAGTTATTGCGTGCCAAGTGAATTGTGAAGCTGCCACATACCCTTTTTGCATGCCCAACCCTAATGCTATGCAGCCACGCATCTCTCTGCCCATCCCCCTTTCTCTGTCCTCGTCATCGATCATCCCTCTCTCTCTCACTAAGCTTCTCTCCCTCAACCACCTATATAATCCACCCTCTTGTTCCCCTCTCATCAACACCACCACCACTCTCTCTATAGCTAGTGAATCAATTTGGTTTATACACACGTTAATATTGTTATCATTGTTAATTAGTTAGGGTTTGCATCCATCATATCAATCAGAGATGAGTAGTGTTTGCGACGAGCAGCACAATTTCCACCCCTCCCACCAGCTCCAATCATTCAAGAAAACCCTCCTCAGGGACAGCAACACTGACATCCCACCGAGGAAGCTCCTCACCCGCCGCAGCCCCCAAGAATTTCCCTCTTCTGACATGTACGCCGCAGCTGACTGCGGATCCCCGCGCTTCTCCTCCGCTGACGAGGCCCTCGTCCGCAAATTCCTCCCCTGCAACACCGGCTCTGATGACTCTGATGACGACGAGGTCGATCCCTACTCCTCCGACCACTTCCGCATGTTTGAGTTCAAGGTCCGCCGGTGCACCCGCAGCCGCAGCCACGACTGGACTGACTGCCCTTTCGCCCACCCCGGAGAGAAGGCTCGCCGGCGGGACCCGCGCCGCCATCACTACTCAGGCACCGTGTGCGCGGACTATCGGCGTGGATCATGCAGCCGCGGCGACAGCTGTGAATTTTCGCACGGAGTCTTTGAGTGCTGGCTGCACCCGGCGAGGTATAGAACTGAGGCTTGCAAAGACGGGAAGAACTGCAAGAGGAAGGTGTGCTTCTTTGCGCACACGCCACGTCAGCTTAGGGTTTTGCCGGCGGATCAGGTGCTTTCCCCCATGGCTGGTTCCAAGAAGTACCACCTGAACAACTCATCGGTGGGGTCGCCCCGTTCCTGTTCGAACAACAATAAACAGTACTGCTGTTTGTTCTGTCATTCAGCGGCGGCGACGTCGTCTCCAACTTCGACTCTGTTGGACGGTATGTCTCATCATTTGTCGCCGCCTGTGTCGCCAGCAGCTAAACACTGCTCGTCGGTGGACGAGTTTCATAATTCGCCAGTTATGTCTCCCTGTGGTGGGTTAGGGTTGGGGTGTTTGGATCAGGTGCATGCAAGCACAGGTGGGTTGATGAGCTACAACGAAGTGGTTGCTGAGCTCATGAGCTCCTTGGAGGCCATGAAATTCCATGAAGCTGCCGCTGCCGCTGCTGCTTCTCAGAAGAGGTGGGTCGACATTTCATTTGATGTGAATATGAATTATGCTGCTGCTGATGACGATCTGCAGCAGCAGCAACAACAGTTTATTCTTTCACCGTCCACTCCGAGCCCAAGCCAACCATTTGGAGGCGGAAAAGGACGCGGGATCAATTTTTTTGACGGGGATGAAAATTGGTCATCAAGAAATGGAAGCTTGTTGGGTTTTGATCGTGATACCAATATGCCCATAAAAAATAACGAGATCATTAACGGAGGAGGGTTTACCTCAGCCGCTGACTCGGACCCGGATCTTGGCTGGGTTAATGACCTCTTGATGTAAAGGACTTTGGTAACTCTCTGACTGCCATGATTTGGAAGCTAGATGATCATCATCGTGTGATGTGAAGGACGGACGGACGGACGAGATCCAACTTAATAAAAGATGGATGGATGGATGGCCATCGTATCTGTCCATCCCATTCCCAGGCCAACTGTATATATTGCATGCTTCACCAGCCGTACGTACGTACGTACGCGTATGCATACGGGATTGAGCCGTACATTATTAATTGTTGTCATTATTTTCTGTTTATTTTTTTCAATTATCAATTGTTGTTAATTTCTTTGTTGGAGATGTTTTTTCTTTTCTGAAGTCGGAGGCCGAGTGTATTTATAATTAGCTGATGAGTTGATGACGTTGTTAATTTCATGTATCTATTTGATATTGAAATGCTTTGGAGAAGAATTATCAATCAATATATTCATATACATCTATATATTATGCAGTTCTATTTCACAAGTTCTATTTAATTAAATTTGATTAATCTTCTGCCTACAATTGATATTTGCGTGTCAAAACCTAATCAGCCAAGACGATAGGGTTTGAAAATCATGTTTGTGATACTATTGTCTCGTGAGAACTTTCTGCCCATAGGTGGCATGGAAAATCTTGATTAGCTACGTGGCAGACATGCAGCAGTGTTCGTTTCTGGCTTGATTTTGGATTTTCATTCATCCAAATAATACAAACACGTTGATTTGTTAGTCACCTGATAAGATAACATTGATGGGAACAAGGGGTTGCAAGCACAGCACAAGGCATACACCCTTAATTTCCCTTTTGATCCAAAACTACGTACTACTCATACCAACCAACGACGACTTGCATATATATTCTCAAAGTCAAGAAGTTAATAAAATAGTGATTTATTTTATGGTATCCGAAGAAGTTGAAGTTCGATCATAAATAAATTGGAAATACAAGAAGCAATATGATTACTTATTATAAGCACATGCAAGGTCCTTTATTTTCTCAATGTACTCTCAAGTCTCTCAACATTCAAACTGAATTGAGATTTTTCAATGTGACCGGAACACAGAGCGGTACATTACGTGTTACTATACAAATGGGTGGGATATGTGTGTTAAATAGTTAATAACTTAAAAAATAAAATTTCTCACCACTTATATAAAAATACGTGATGTACCAAACTATGTTCTGGTCATAATGAAATTTTTTTCCAAACTGAACTTCTTTGTACCAAATTAACAATTTCATATCTATACCATCTCTTTCTTTTCTTGGAGAGTCCTTCAAATAAACTAATTCGAGGAACACTTCGTAGGGTTCTACGTAACTTCTTTTAATGATTCAAATTATCTATATTTTGCCATCATGCATAAGTCATCCTTAAAAAAATGGGACAAATTCTTTTTCATTAACACATCCAATTACTGGTAAAGAAAAAATAGCCGAACACGATAAGATAACCATTTAATGTAACCACTTAATGTAATTAAGGGGAAGGGGGATGAGCTTAGTCTCTCCATGGGTTAACAATAATGTGGTTCAAATTAGTTTTTAGCGAGATTTGAACCTAAGACCTCTCACTTACAAGTAAAGAGAAATACCACTAGATCATAGTATTAAGTAGCTACAAGTGTCATTTAAATAAGCTTACTTTGAAACAAATGTTGTCCTTCGATATTTGAATACATATGATCCCTTCTACTATTAACTTGTGTTCCACTTCCACGTTAATATTATTTATTTTACAAGTGTTTGACAAAGTTTGAATTATACCACCATTTACATACTAACTAGAAGAACAATTAACAAAGGAAAGTAAAACAAAATTAACTACAACTTTTTTGGGATAAGATTTATAGTTTCTATTGTGCATTTATTCAACGGATCACATATCACAACGAAACGGCCATGAATATTGTGAGTAGCATGGAAGTCAATTACTAAATCGTCACATAAAACATATAAAGCTTTATCGCTGTGGCAGAAAGTAATCATGCTTATGCACTATGGTGCGAGTTCAATCTTCATAGATTCTCCTCCTCCCTAACAATTAACTATTTAATTCAGTAACGCCATTGTGTGTAAAAAAAAAATTATCACTTAGAGCATGAGAATCTTAATAACGTTATTCATCAAAAGTAGATCGAGGGAACGATGGATGTACTAGCACACTCTATTCTATATGCTCCCTAGGAGGGATACTTATCTGAAAGACAGCTGGGATATATGGTAATGGTAGGGAAATCCCCCATGAGTCTCTGTAGTCTGTACCTAAAAGAAAACGAAATGCAAAGGAAAACAAATGCAACGCCCTTTTCTTGGCTGCGTACTGACTAGGTGCGATGCAAATTATGCAATGCGTGATTTAGGTGATGATTTGTCAGATACGACTTAAAAATAATACAAATGGTGTGGGGCGGGTGGGGAGCAGCCCATGCTGCAATCAAATGACGATATCTGCATTACATAAAACGAATTCATCGTTGTTGTAGCACTTTGGTCTAGTCTCATATGCAATGTTATGTGTAAAACTTTTTTAGCATAGCGTTGTATTATTGAGTTGAAAGTCAACATTACGTGATAGAGTAATGTCGTTTTATCTAAGTTTTTTACATGTGTTGATGCCCCAATCTCAATTTTCATTTGATCTATCTATTTATATAGATGAAGCCAGAAGGCAAGAAGGTGAATTATTCATATAATTCTAAAAATACTCATTTCTAATTAGGATTTTAAAATAAAGCTATTCTATTTAAAAAAAAAAACTATCAAAGCAAAACTATAATTTTTCTTCTTTATTTCTTTTAAATAAAAAAAATTCTTTCAGAACAAAAAAAAAAAAGAATAAAAATTGCAAGTGAAGGAGCAAATTGTCATACAAATGGAAAGAGGATAGTTTTTTTTTTTTTTTTTTTTTTTTTGTTAAATTTAGGTTTGGGGACAAAAGCCCGTGCCATGCCCATCAGGCATGAGGAATGCTCGTGACAGAATTTATTAGGTAATACGTATGGCTGACACCTGTAAATGGGTACATTTTTGTATAGGCCCCTTGTGGTGTTTATCGATTAATTTGTCTACAGAGGCAGAAACTTTTATGGTGAATCTTCTGACGTTCATGCAGATGATATGGACAGATTAAAATTTAAAATATCGATGATATCGGAAATATCGGTAATTTAAAAATACAAAAATTTTGATGAAAATATCGGGATATTATCGATATCAATAAAAATTGAATAAAAACCAAGGAAATTGTAAGAAAAACTTAGAAATTTTTATTAAAACTTTGTAGGATGTTTATTTAGTTAATTATCTATTAGTTTATCACAAAAAAATTGGAAGGAATGCATTGCATGATGGATTTAACTGATTTAAGTTGATTATATAGCGAGCTGTCAAACATTGTAAGTGTAGAAAATATGTAGTAATTAATGAAATAAGTTTAAACACACCATAATCATTTATATATAATGAATTAGTACAATATTTTACACTTTATACATTGCATGGAAAGATATATGAGTGACTTAGTACCACATAGAGTTCCTATTAAAGTCTAAAATATCGATGATATCAGAAATATCGGCAGTCTAAAAACACGGAAATTAAGATGAAAATATTGGGATAATATCGATATTTTAGACCTTGGGATAGATCAAACTTTGTGAACTCATGCATTGCATTTTGCAAGTAAATAAGGATGTCTTTTTCTTTTCTTTTTTTTCTTTTCTTTTTTTTCTTTTTTTTTCTTCTTTTTTTTTTGTTTTTTTCCTTCTTTCAAACTGAGGAAACATTAGAAAAGAGATCAGTCGTAGTTTCTATAAGATAACATCTGGAAAATTATTAAAACAAATACGTGAATGATTGTAGATCTTCTTTCACCTTGTATTTTTTGAGTGGTGCTAAACTCACCCCATTATATTATCGCTCCATCCACTTTAAAATATAAATGTAATTGGCAATTGTGTTTTCTCTGATTTCTGGTCAAATGATAAATTTTTATGAATTTTCTTTGTTTCTCTTGAAATTCATAAAATTGTTGCAGTTACAACCAGAGATGAAGTTAGAGATGTGTATGGATGGAGGCATCCTCAAACAACAAAGTCACGAATTAAAAAGCTCAAGAATGTACTAAAAAACAAACTTAATCCATAAGGTTTTTCATACAACATATTACAATATTTATTGATGCGTTTTTATGTTTCAAGCATTAAACGACAACCTTATTACCAATACCATCAAATATTGCTCTCTATAACAGTAACCATATTATCATTCATCCATTGATCTTCCTTACATTTTCATAATCTATCTTTATAAATTTCTTGGCCGAAAATGCTCTTTCAACAATGGAAGTAGCATATGGAAGAGTTAATGCTACTATCACAAACAACTGAAAGAGTACATTTTTCACAAACACAACCACAACCAAAACTTAAAACAAAAACAAAAGAGTGGGGGCATCCGCCCTATGAGCCCAAGGTGGCTTTGTCCATTGTAACATTGTTAATTTCGGAATAAGATCTCGTGATCTCATCCATTTATTGTATATCGTGTGGTTAGTTTTCGTTAAATACTATTCATATTTAATTTTAAATTTTAAAATTATTTTTGACTGCACGATATATGCTGAAATGGTGAGATCACAGAAACCCTAGGAAAAGGATCTGACAATGATCATTTTCTGTTAATATCCTTCCAATTGCATGTGGTTCAATATCCTAATAGATAAGATATTGAGCTTCTATTCATACATTCTTGATTTGAAATTCCCCGATTTCCCTAAATTAATGTGATAGTTTCAAACTCTCTCCTCCCCTTAATAATAGTTAATTTGTTTTTTAAATTAATATTTTTCAAATACAAGGAAATGCGTTTGCCTTGCCGACAAAGTTAAAACAAAACAATCCTAGCTCAAAGTACCAAACACTTCTAGCATCTGCAATTATATTTATTCACATGGAATTTTTGGCACTCATGATTTGCAGTAATTGAATTATCATTTTCTTTACCATTAAAAAGGAAAACGCATACGATGATTGAATTTAAGCCATGTATACCGACAGCCTATACCTGCTACATACAATGACAGTTCAACCACGGCACCGTCGGCACGTACAATGGGTTCAGTTGGTTAAATGCTGCTAGAGAATTGTACGACTCAGTTGTCCTTACAATTTCTTGCGTAATTCGATGTAGACAACCTCGACTGGGACTGAAAGAAATCGAAAGGTGCGCCTGAACCGAAAGACCTTCTAGTTGAATTTGGTGTATCTGATAGTAGAGGCTCAAAAATTGGATTTCTGTTCTTGGGTTGAGTTATTGATAATGGAGAAACATCTTTTTCAATGGTTCTGGGTTGTGGCTCAATGCTCCCAATAGACAGGATAGGACCACCCAATCGTTCCGCCTGCTGAAGCGTATTGATTTTGCTTGGCCTGTACGTATACCTGAAGTACTTCAGAGCAAGAATCG